GCAATTAGTGCAACGCCTTAATTCCGATTTCTGGAAAAGATGGCAAGCCGAGTATTTGCATACTTTACAGCAACGCTCAAAGTGGACCACTCCCTTTGCAGAGGTGAAACTCAATACTTTAGTTTTAATAAAGGATGAATCTAGGTCCCCTTTGCATTGGTCTTTGGGCCGCATAATCGCATTGCATCCAGGCAAAGATGGCCATGTAAGAGTGGTTACTTTAAAAACACAACATGGGATACTCAAGCGTCCTACAGCTAAGTTATGTCCATTGCCGACTAACTAATATTTCACTCCTTAATCCGTAGATTAAGGTCTTTATGTCGCGTGCTGTTTTGAATAATTTTTTTGTTTTTTTTTTGGGAATCCGAGGTTATTTTGCTTCCGCAGTATATGAATTTTGTTCTTATCGCGTGTTTTTTTTATACTCGAGAATTTTAGCATTTTAATGTTTATTTGGGATTGGGAAATAAAACTCCGTTTTAAGTGGGCGGAAAATGTTCGTGCAAATGTTTGGAAAAAAGGGGGATTTGTTTGTATATTTAAAATTCGATATTGACATTAAAAAAAAAACCATACAATTTCAAACCATTCGGCACCATATATACGCTACGACCTTCGAAGTAGTCGAGTTCGAGTAGTGCGAGGTCGCGCGTCCGTAGCCAGGACTACATATTTTGAATCAAAAACTCTCCAAAAATATTCCTTAGAAACTCAATTATCTACCCGTTTTCGAAGTGACCAGTGGGATTACGTTGTTTATGAAACAGGAGCTCCTGTGAGGCGCCAACACCAGCGCATAGCACAACCCTGTGCAACTCCAAGGTAGGTGCCTTATCTAATATTGCCTTTGTATGGTTCCGCGATCAAATTTCGACGCGTTTACAGTCCGCGGCTCTCCAGAATAAATTTCCCAACGTTTTAATCATAAACAAATTGATATGACGTTTCCTTTCAGTATTTGAAAAGGGATGTAGTCATGTGCTGAATGAAATTGCTATATCAATTAATTTTTGAATTGTTTTGGTACGATGGTCAATTCGTGAAGCTATTAGGCTTTCTTTTATTGTCGAATGAAATCTTTCGATCGGCGAGTTTGAATTTGGATTGTACGGTGTAGTGAAATGAAATTCAATCTCATAGGTTTTACAGGGGTCTTGTATTAGATTACTCTTGAAAGTTTGTGCATTATCAGTGGTAATTTAACTTGATGTTTCATTCACTGGGTATGCTGCGTCAAATTTGGAAAAATTGTCTTTTATCGTAAAATATTTTTGACCTGACAATGAGTATATGTCCATATAAATGTTTGGATCTCGTTGATGTTGGTTTATAAATTACTTTGTACTGATGTCTGTCGTATTTTGATTGCTGACATATTTCATTTACAAAATTAAATACGTCCCTTTCTAGACTCGGCCAATAATATCTTTGCCTGATATTCTTGATATTTTCGGTCATTCCTCTATGTGAAGTTTTTGTTGTATGGTATCTTTCTTTTGTCTCTTTTTGATCATCTTGATGTGTTACATCTTCTAGTAAAGTGTTTGAGATGAGTAGTTTGTATGAATTGTTTTTGAATGTTTCCTGAAAAATTCTTATTATTATTACAGGTTCTAGTTCTTTATTTGGAAAATGTAGACAATAGGTGGTAAATAATCTCTTGAAAGTATTTGTATTTCTCCTGTTATCGGGTTTTTATTTATGAAAATTAGGATTCTCTTCTGGGTTTCGAATAACTTTGTTATATTTAAATAAGGTTTTTCTTTGCTTGTCAATATAAATATAACTTGATTTTTAAACGAATTCACTGCTTTATTAATGTAAGCTGCTCCTAAAATAAGGTTTTCTTAAGAAGTATGAACTGTTTCTGTTTCTGAGGTGTTTGCTGTATCTGTCTCGGAATTGTGTATTGTTCTTTTATTTGGTGTTTTTTCATTAGGCGTTATTTCTTCAAGTATTTTTTCATCAGGAGTTCTTTGTTCACTTGCTAATGGTTGAGGTGACTTCTTTTTTTCCACTGGTGGTTGTTTTTGGTCAATTGGTTTTTTAATTGGTTTGAGCTTAATGGGTACATTAGTTATAATTTTTACTTTGGGACTTTCCTTTTTTACTCCTTTTTTTTTTTTGTTTTCACACACTTTTCTTGGTCTTTCAAATTGATTTTCTTGTGATTCAAAGAAATGTTTGATTTTCTCATGCCATAAATATTGATCTTCTGAGTTCTCATTTTTTTCACATTATGCGGGCATGTATGTCGGTGGTGATTTTTCTTTTTCTGTAAGGTAAATTTCTTCAGGGAGGCGTGATAATGCATTAACATTCTGCGTTCCTTTCTTATGCTGAATAGTGTATTCAAACTGTTGAAGTTTTAGTCTTCATCTCACTCAATCCATATAGGGTAACTCCAAGGAAAACAGGATGATTGGATGATTCCATTTTGAAGCATTTGGTCTATTTGTTTGCCTATATTCTTCGTCTTTGTGAATATACGTGCTCACTGTATAATAATAAATGATGCATAACCGGAAGCTTGCTAAAATTCCTCATTTTAATAATACGTCGTCAGAAGTGGCCATATAATTGAAGTATAAATATTTTTTATTAACCAAATTCTGTAGATAGGCTTGGTCTGTTAAAAGTAAAAAAATTTTAAATAAAAAATATAAAAATTAAGTTACATTTAATCAATAATTGTTATTTTTCACACCAATAACATATCTAGAAAAATATACACTTTTAGTGAGTGGTGTGTTATTTTTGTCACATAGTATAATATATCAACTTTTTCATAAATATCCATTCGGGTTCAGTTTTTTCCCAAAAGCTCTGTTATACCGGTTATACCAATCGGTTTTTGAGTTAACGTTGAATTCAGATAAAATAAATCACTGTAAATAGAATATAAAATAACGTTTTACAAAACATGTTCATCCAATTATCGACAAATTGCCTTTCATTTTTCTGCGAAACCGCAAATTACATACGGCAAATGTTTATTTGGAAAACCAAAACACACATTTTTATTTTTCCTAGAATTCCATTGAAGTTTGGAATTGTTTTTCGCCAGATTCTAAAATCCATTGTACCGGAACTAAATCTATATATCTATCCAATCATCAGAGCCGCTTGATTATAATTACCAGCTTTTTGTTATTTTAAAAATGTTATTTGAGCCAAACTTCAAAAGCAATGGAACACCGTTTTGTAATTGTCGATAATAACATCGTATCTATTTGATCTATTGGTATTATTTATCTTATATTATGTATGATTTTTTTAATTTTTTTATGTGACTCAATTAATTTTTTTCATTGTCGCAGGCACTAGGTATAAACGGTCAGAATAAACAGGTAAAGCAAATGAATGTCTTATCTGTAAACTAACAAAAATACATAAAAATCTACCAGCATGAGTTTGTTTTCAATTTATTAACGAAGCGTAATTTAGCTTTTGGTCAACAGTAGTTTTAGATTGAGTCTGTATTTGTGGAGTTTACTTTTACTTACAAAATTAAATACCTATTCGCTATGTAATTTGTGGCTTAACTAAATAATTTATCAGTTAATTAACAATTCACAAAGTGTATCTTCGTGACAGTGGGTTAGAATATTTCCAAAAGACAAAGTCATAGTAGCTACACTGGCAACTACTGTGGGATCCACGAAGACCTACCCATTCAACGAATAAAATCACCAACAAAAGTAAACTCAAAAATGCATCTATTGGATAATATTATACAATTCACTTATGGTGGGTTCTTCACAATGAATATCAATTCTCCACCGCGCACGCTAAAAACAAGACATTGACAATCTATATATTTTTTTTTGATATTATAGGTATAGGTAGGTTTTTGACCTGCATTCACTTCCATATTATAAAGTTCTTCTGGGCGCTGCCTCATTGAGTATCAGGGATTGTGCCCATAAAGATTTCATATTAGATACTAGGCTAGTTATAGACCAGTTTTGAACTTTCTAGTTCTCGTCAGTGCAACACAAAAGCACTTATCTTTTGTTATTTTGGTAGACATGGAGGAATATTCGATACCTTGCTTCTCAAAAACTTCTCCAAAAGTATTCTCACTAATCCAAAACTTTCGCAACCTACCAATCAAGTTGAATCCTGATTGTAAAATGAATGTGTGATGTAAAAGTTTGTTGCTGACCCTTCTTTTGGAACACCAGCATCCAGTTTTCATCATGAAACAATATTTAAATAACAACTATAAATCTATCATACCTAAGTGTGATCCCAAATAACAAGTGATGCAATCACATGTTTATACGAACTATTGTATTTACTCAATGCTTGTACTGTGACTTGACCTTCTGGAAAATATTCTGGCTCAATAATTATATAAATTATGTTTTTAAATTGCCTACTCTTCTTTTTAATAAGTATTTATGTGTACATATCTTTACATATATTTTTCTACAAAATATAAAATTTCTATTTAGGTACCGGAATATTTTTCTCATAAAATAATCACTAATGTATTTATTATTCAATACACAAAAAATTTAATATCAAATTTTAGGAAAATAAACAAAATTTCCTAACCAATTATTAAGCAATGTTTGCCGATGATGTTCCAATACAAAGGTAAGTCAACCAAAATTTTTGGCTTCACATTTCCAAATTTTAACGCATACACTTAAAAATTTCTTAGTACCTACCCAAACTTTAAACAATAAAGTCAAAGTAATACTAATCGACTAATATAACTACTAATGTTGATTGTCAATAACACAGCTACTGTGACAAGTTATATGAATATTTGCTTACACAAAATCCAATTTACTTCTATATTTCAACAAATTTAAGCAAAATACATAATAATATTATTAAATATATTGTATATTAAATATTCTGCATACAAAACCATACCACCGCAAAATAGTTTGTTTTTTTCCTCATACACCTCACGATTTTTAAAAGCAGAATTTCGAATAGAAACACCGAAAAAACAACACCTTTTCTCTGTTTTATTCCAGACAACAACGCTGATTGGCCTGCTCAAAACCGCCAGACTGTTGCGATTGGTCAGAGTCGCCAGAAAAATCGACCGCTATTCCGAGTACGGCGCAGCTGTTCTGCTACTTTTGATGGCCACGTTTGCACTTATTGCGCATTGGTTGGCTTGTATATGGTAAGTAAAATTTTTCTCGATGTGGTCAAATTTTATGTACAAAGTGAAATGAAATATATATTTATTTGGAAAATATAATAAAGGTACTACTTAGGTACTTCAAATTATTCAAGCTAATTCGAACTAAATCATCACTAGCAAATTAAAATCTAAATTGCTGGTTGATTTTTAGATTTATGTAAAGTGGGCTGTATTTTAAATGCGAATGCGGAAATTGCGGCAAAATGGCCTCCGTCACGACATGTAAATGTGAAACTCACCTTGCGAATGTTCTGTTTGTACCACCCGTGCGGTGTGCTACCCTTTGTTTCCGCTTAATGTGTCAACCAGGGCATCGACGTCATCTTCCCCATCGTAGCATTCGTAGCCCTGATTTCCGAATTTCGTCTGGTAGCACTTAGTGCGCGAATTAAAGAAATGTACCACGTGCACAGTACCGGGTGATTGTTTATATTTTGCACCCACACCTATTGTCTGTCGTTTTTAATCTGACACTCTCCGTATGAGGAGCGAGAGGGTGAAGCCTATGGCAAAGACAGGTATGACGTCAGGTGGCCATTGGCGTTCTAATGTAGGGAGCCACCAGCTCACATTCCTTTGGAGTATCAGATTAAAATCGACAGACATATCTTACTTGTTTGAAGAGATACCCAAAAATGTCAAAGGTTAAAGTTGTAGTTATAATATCAGAAAGTTTTCAATGAAGTTAGTTACAAGTTTACAGAGTGTGACCAAGCGAAGTTGAACTTTTTTAAATGAAACACCCCGTATATTATTGACCTATTGGATTAGCCCTTCAAACCTGATTCCAAATATACTAGGTTTTTTTGGATTTATTCCTCATAGTCCAGCCTCCAAATATCCCTTTTCATTTTGGAGAAATAATACATGGGTTTTTATTTTTAACCATAAATGTAATGTTGACATTACAGACTTTTTAAAAATTCGAAAATGTCACTTTACTGTCTTTTCATTTTCCTCACATCCCGTCCTCACTTCCCGTCCTCACTTCCCGTCCTCACTTCCCGTCCTCACTTCCCGTCCTCACTTCCCGTCCTCATTTCATTATACACACATCAAAATAGTCTAGGGAACAAGAAATAGGTACCTATACTATCAGAAATTTTTGCTGATTTTATTTATAAAATATTTAAACTAAACAAGTTTGCGAAAAAGAGCCGATATGGTAAATTTGATAAGATTTGCTCAATAAATAGGTTATCGTTATCTTAAAAAAAAAGTTGTTCGGTCTTAAAATTGGAGGACAGATATTTCTTGTTCCCTAAACTTCATTCCACGCAACGAGATAGTAGAAGTAAACAAACAGGCGGAGCTTAAAAATTCAGAGAAGGACTGCAAAAATATGAATTACAACCAATGACATTTATTATTGTCAGGTTGTCATATGAGTCAATAGGTTTTGGTGTCGTATATCCTAGTATTTTACAATTATTTAAATGGTGTTTGGTGAATTATTGTTAATAAGTGACCAATTTAGATTAAAACGATGTCAAGTTCAACAGATTCCGCTGAAGAATTCGTTCGGAAATATATTTAGAGAAGAGAAATACAAAACAACCTAAGACGGTCCTGTCTAGGGCGGAGTATAATCCTTTTCTAGCCAATAAAATTCGACTTACCTGTAAAAGTTTGTTTACTGTCACTATCTCGTCTCGAGAAATGAACTTTAGACTATTAGGCAATTCAATCTATCTGTCAGATAGGAAAATTCAATATGACGTGGCGGCCAAGCAAGTTTGTTTTGAATGTTTTTTTATGCGCATTTCAAATTATTTTGCTTAGAGTTTTGCTTGCAACTTTGATTTGGATTATTTAATAAAATATTTGTTGACTAGGTACCTAAACTAATAAATCGGTCAGAATCTAGATATTTTTTTGTGTTTCTTGGCCCATGTGTGGCCGCCACGCCATCTTGAAAGTCACGTGGTTTGAATTGCCTAATTGTGATGAGTGTATTTATGTGGCAGGTATTGTCAATTTTTTTTCAAAATTGATGAAGCTACGTTCACATTCAATTTCATTTCTAATTTAAATTTGCAAAAATTATGGTTAAAAATAAAATAGTATAGTATGCTCGACAGGAAATTTAATTACTGTCTCGAGATATAGTTTATCTCGACGCTACGCGTCTTGATAAAGTATAAAATCTCTCGACAGTAATGGCTAATTTCCCGTCTCGGATTATGATATACTTAATTGTAGAAGGTTTGCGCCCTTAACAGTCGTATGAATAGGTAGTGTTGTGGGTTTAAAGCCAAAAAAATTCAAAGTCCCTTTTAAATTTTAAAAAATGCCGACGTTTCGACTTTATTTAAAGTCTTTTTCAAGGCTGAAAATAACAAGAAAAAAAAAGTTATTTTCTCTATGGAGAGACTAGACAATTACTAATTAATTAAATCTTGCTTATTGACTTTAAGTTGATTAAAACATAAAAATATGCATTGACAATACTCCAATAACAGTTTTTCTTGGTACATAAATGTGTAAACAGTAACAAGATATAAGACTAAAAAAATAGTGACAAAAAATATAAATAGGTAATCAAAAACACAAAAATATCTAAACATTATTAAAAAATTCAATAATGAATTATACACTACATACAAGCAAAATAAAAACCAAACACCAATGAAAGAAAGTATTACTCAAACATACAAATAAATAAATATGAGGTAACATACCTATTTTTAATAATTTTTTGGAAAAGGGACTCTGGTCGATATGAGTGAAAGCACCAAGCACATAATAAAAACTTTTCGATTTAAACTTGTCTAGTCTCTCCATAGAGAAAATAACTTTTTTTTTTCTTGTTATTTTCAGCCTTGAAAAAGACTTTAAATAAAGTCGAAACGTCGGCATTTTTTAAAATTTAAAAGGGACTTTGAATTTTTTTGGCTCTAAACCCACAACACTACCTATTCATTGTGATATACTATTTACTTGAATCCTTATATTTTGCTGGTGGTCCTATACTTCACCTTTTCCAATGAAAATGCAATTATTCTACCCCTTTTCTCCTTATTTTCTCCCGGACCATTGGGAATAAACCTAAAAAACCTTATATATTTGGAATCAGGTTTGAAAGGCCAACCCAATAGGTCAATAATATACGGGGTGTTCCATTTGAAAAAGTTTAACTTTGATTTGCACCCCTTGTGTGATATACCCTGTATTGAAAACTTTCTAATATTACCTACAACTTCCACATTTGACATTTCTGGGTATCTCTTCAAACAGGTGAGATAGGCGTGGGTGTAAAATATAGATAATCACCCGGTACGTTTTGCAATGATAGATTAATTGTTATAAATTCAATAGAATGTAATATTGAGCAAGAAGACAAAATCGCAAAGATGACGGCTGAAATAAACTCGTCAGCTATAAAAACATAGTTCCCTTCAGTTTATTATAGAAAACATCTATCATTGAAAAGATCAATGACATCACATTTACCAATCACCTCGTTTTTTAAGATACACGAGTTCACACGGTAGTTACTTAGTTGTTAGTTCTATGGAAGGGTTCAATAAAGTAATTTGTTTAAAAGCCTTTTGGAGAGATATAGAAAATAACCACAACAAGGAGATCCAAGGGCATCCAACATGATATTACCAATTTTAGAAGACAGCCAATGATATCAAAAACGTGCAACTAACGAAAACATTAGTGACCTCGGCAGTGACGTATGGCCCCCTTGTGGAACTTCCGGAGAGACCCTCCTATCGAAAGATATAAAGTTCCTGAGTTTAACAAATGTTTCCGAGAAGTTCGTGGAAATTGCAGTCACCTGACATCAGATCTCGAAAGCACCCAGCCAGGCGTGCTCAAAAGACAACAAGTTTGAGAGAGGACCAAATAAAGATGTTGGAGAAAAAAGGAGGATCTTTAATAACAGATATGCCTAAAGAGGTAGGATATAATGAAGTTTGCGATAACATCACGAGTAGGATCCAGTTTGCAACAGGAACTATATGCTCCAGACAAAAGGAAAAGTTTGGCAAGATCGATCACATACGGAAAATTTGTTGAAATTGAAAATAGAAATGGATCACGAAAAACAGGAATACTTAATAAGAACTTAGCACAAAAAAAAATCAACAGAAATATCCGAGAAGAGGAAAATACGTACCTAAGCTGAGAAATCATAATATTGAGGCGATGAAAACTACAATCCAACGCAACAAAAGTATAGAAGTTCTAAAATCCACACTAATTAACTCAAGACCAAAAGTGACCAAAATAAGATTCTATCAAATTGAAAAAGCCCTGCTAATAATAAAATTTCTAGTGGAATGTATAAAATAGGTGGAGGGCGAGTTGTTGTTGGAAGCTGTGCGGGCCTTGAAAAAAAATGTTCAATGGAAGGAAAGATTTCAAATAGGCGACAAAATGTGTCATTCAAATATACAAGAAATGATTTAAACATAACATGGAAAAGTATTGACAAACATTGATTTCTAGAATTTCAAGCAAATTGAGTTAGTTTCCCTTATTACCTACATGAATTACATTTTCAAAAATCAGAGTCAGAAATAAAGAAGTGTTCTTAAGAAACATTGAGGTTTTTTTTGTGATAGTTTTCTCTAATTTCTATTAGAGTTAGTATTTCTGATTTTTTGATAGTGTGTTGATGAAGTGGTTATGATAAATCCGAGTTTTCGACCTCGAAAGCCCTCCTGATCATTGTTAAAAGCTACCAAAACCGCTAAATTTTCGCTCTTTTTTCACATTTTGTCAATTTTGATCATCAAGGACTAATGTTACGGCAAATTCGTTATATACAATAAAAGTTATCATATGTAATATTAAGAAGGCCTAATTTTCCAACAAAACAACAATAATTTGATTTTTTTTCATAGTTTTTTTAGACGTAATAGTTCTTGAGATATAGCCGTCCAAAGTTGATGAGGTCAGTAAGCAAATATTTTTAGGTTTTGTAAAATAAACTACGACGGGAACGTTAACGGAATAAGCATTAA